GGGTGCTTCCCCGGGGAGGCAGGGTTCTCGTGGTCCTCTTTCCAGCCGCGTAAAGAGGAACCGATGTTGAAATGGAGTGTGGGTTTTTTTACTTTCCTTTGTAGACAGTAGAAGTTTGTTCCTGTTTTTTGTGCTTGTCCTGATAGATCAGCACGTAGTTCCAGGTTTGTTTTGTAAAAGCAGAAATCCCAGGAAACTAAATCACTTTGTGGTTTTCCCTGGCTTAAAAGTATTGTAACTGTAAAAATTATGAGTATTTAAACAAGTATTATAAGCAACATTAGCAATATGTTCTGTGGTAACAACCAGGTTGGAGTTCTGTTAGGGGTTAAAGTGGGAAGTTGAACAAACGAGGACTTCCCACAGAGCTTCGCTCACGTGTGATACCAAAGCATGTTTTTATTCTCTGTAGGTTGTGAAGACTTTGTTAGGTTGTGGCATACTTCCTTCCACAAGTGAACTTCAGTGTTGACAGTTCATTATGCTTCATCATTAGCTTTGGCATGGTGGTTTCAGACTTAACAGGTTTAGGCAAACATCTATCTGATCCGTTTAAAGAATAATTATCGTGAGAGGGAGATTTCTTTTTTTTTTTTTAAGTAAGGAATTCTTCGTTTGAAAGCATAAATATAAGAGAACATACAGATAGATAGCAAGCTGATCAGTGTATTTAACTAGACTCCAGCTCGTGAGTTGTTAATTTTTCCTTATGGGGTTATATTATCTTGTTAGACTTCTCATCTGCGTTATGTCCTCAGCCATACTTAGAATCACGTTTAGGAACAGTTTGAAACTTGAGTATTTAAGCTAGTTCAAAGTGTAGTGATTAGAGTTTGAGAGGGCTCCACACGTGGATGCACAAATCCTCTTGTAATTTTTGTCCACATATGAGTTTGAATGTGGAGTCTTTGTACAAAGTTGATTGAAGTGGATTATTTTTTTCCTAAAGTATGATTTTTGTTATATGGCTGCTTCATTTTCCATTTTAATTGGTAAGGTTTTTGCACTTGTTTCCCAAGTAACCAAATTGTTGGTTTTCAGGCTTTACAAAAAGATTCATTTTCACCCAAGGGGTTTCTTACTTTAAAATGCCTACCTGTCTTGGAATCAGTGTGTTTGGAACCTCAAAATCCCTTTCATGAACACAACACACAATAAGTGAATGACCTGTAGTAGCATTGCAGTCAGTGTGACGCTCAAGTGTGTCGAGGAGCAAAAGGCTGAAGCTGAACTGCTTGAACTGGACCCTGTGCTTATCAGGGTTTGCAGTTGGAGGTCAGTGGGACTCGTATTTCTTTCTTGTTCAGAGGTGTCTGTTTAAGATGACACAAGCACTAAGGTGCCTGAGATTCAAAAACGTGAGTACTTCTAGGTTTAGGTGTCTGAATACTTCTTTGGGCTTCCCTTTTCTGTCAAATTTTTACATCTAAGTTCTGAAAAGTAAAATGCTCACAAAAGCTTTACTCTGGGACTGCAGTGCTAAGTAGTGTTTAATACTGAAGGGATCCTGCGTGCACCACTGTGTGCTGAAACATGCACGTGTGGATGTTCAAGGAGAGTGAGTGGGAGGTAAGGTGGTAAATATTTATCTTTCCAAGTCAAACCCTTTGAGTAAGTGCTTTATGTTTTGTTAATACCAGTTCTAGTGATTCTGAATCTGATATTTTGACAATAGGGGTGTTTGGAAAAAAATATTCCATTCTTTAGCTTATTAGATATTCTAACTGAAATCTAGAGTAGGCCATGATTTTCAAACCTTATTAAAAAAAATGACACACACCCCCCCCCCCCCCCCCCCAACCACAACCCCCCCCCCCCCCCCCCCCCGATTTAAATCCACGGGATACCTGCACCCTGTTCCTCTAGTTCCTGGGGAGCAGCTTGAGACTGAACTTGTTCACCAGCTTGTCCAAGGGAAATAGTGAAAGTCAGAATGGCTCCCACGGTCGTTCCTCTCCCGCAGGCTGGGTGTATGTCGGACAGTTGCAGTTTGTACCGTTTATGATCCTGTCCTTTCTGTGGAGTTCTTTAAGATAGAGTTCTCGGTGGGTGGGTGGGGGAAGTGACCATGATAGGAATAGCTGTGGCTGTTATATTTACAGTCGCTCACCTGCCATGATATTCCCTCCGTGTGTATTTTACTGCTAACGTGCATTAATGTGAACTGTGGAAGTAAATGCTTCTAATGTAGCTTCTGTTATTGCTGCTCTTAGCAGTGCCATCTAGAACAGTCAATTTATTTGAATAGGTTGGGAGGGATAAGCCTTTGGAATAGATGAGATGCCTTGTCAAGACGTTTACTTTCATTGCTGTGTACCAATAGAGAGCGTGGCATTTTTTAACTGGTGTCAGCACCGGTTATTTAGACCCATAATGTACTTTAAGTGAGGTAATACTCTGGGTTTTAGGGACAGGCGGGATTTTTCTACTTTCACTTGGTTATGGTATAGTGCTGGCTGTCCCAGAGGGCAGTGTGAGCAGTTCTGTGGTGTTCCTGACTGGAACCTTCTTGACCTGTTGCACGTATTGCTGGGCCTTTCTTATATTCTGTCTGGAATAATTAAGGGTTGTTAGGGGAAATAAACTATTCTTGGGGTTGCAGGAGGGCCTGTACAGGCCGTACATAGGCTCTGGGGTCACAAGGTGCTTTTTTCTATGTGCCTTGGGCTTAGAATGAAGGTGGAGATATCTGGAATGGTTGAATGCAGATACCGTTACAGCACTTGCATTCTGAGGGCTCATAGATTTGTCTGAACATTTATCTGTGATATTTAAAAGCTCAGAAGTGCTGCTGGCAAGTGTTGTTCAGTTAATGAAAAAGGGAATGGAGCTTTGAGCTTGGAGTAGTTATCCTTTTCAAAGGTGTTTCGGGGTGTGTGCACACAATCTCATTATGTTTTGTTGCCTGCATTTAGATAGTGGTTTTTTTCCAAGGTGATTTATGCATTTGCATCGAATTTCCCAGTCTAGTTCTGTGATGAATGGATGATGAATGCTGTAGATAAAATCATAATTACTTGTCATTTAGAAAACATCATCATTCTTTATGCTTAGGTAGGTTTTTTGTTAGCGTATGCTGACTTCATATAGCACTTATCAAATTGCTGTTCGTCAGCCCGGGTGTCTGGTAGTCGTGGGTTTGTCTTCCGTAGTCTTTGGGTGATGATTTTTGGGTAGTCTCTGCTGGTTTCGTCTTCAGCTGGGCCATCTTCACCTCTTGTCTCCCATTTAACTAACCAGTCGCAGTACATTACTATGTACTAAGCACCTATGAGACAGGAGATAGAGCTGTAGGGTTGCTCATCCGTTCCCTGGGTGAGACAAGGCTTCAAACCAGTTGGAGGTATCCAGCGCTCAGTGAAGCATGGCGATGTGTTTCAGAGCGAGCTTGGGCTTTAACTGCTTATGTAACCTGTGTTGACCTATGGATCTCTCGCCAGTCTGGTGTTTGACTGGTTCCTGAATATGTATTTCAGGAGTTGATGTGTATGTCATGGTCTTAAACGTATTTGTGTTTAATACTGATTTGGAAAGTTCTTTCTCTGGGTCGCTTATGACAAAGGGATGTTTAATCTCATGGCCATTGGATATTGACCATGTTATGGCTGATGAAATGCTGGAAAATTTTGTGTGTTTTTGGATGTGAAAGAATTTCTTTTGCTGTGATTTTGATTTATGATTGGAGATTTACGGTCTCCAATACAAAGTAAATTTATAAATTAGGACTGGGTGTTCCTACCTCCAGAAGTTACAACTCTTGACAGCAATTACAGTCTGTCAGCTTAGTTTCCAAGGCCACGGCAGTGTTTTGAGACAGATTTTGTTCTAGTTTGGTTTTTAATATTTCTAGTAGATTCTTATCAGACTGACAAAAATTGGCACCTGGTAATCTCGGGGTTTAAACAGAATTGAGAGTGATAGTTCCCTTCATTAAATGGTACCTTAACAAGTCACTCAGTACTGTAGGGGGATCTCACTTGAGGATGGGATGATGAATCTTCTGTCAGCTGCTGTCTTGCAAGGCTGATAAACCTGAAGTAATTGCTCCAGTGCTCCCTCCTGTGATCATTCTTCCACTTTATAGAGCCACTGACTTCTTGGAAACCTTGAGCTAGTAGTGATGCATCGACCTGCCCTGTTTCCCAACTGCCACTCTTGGTGCTGCTCAGTGCTGCTGCCTTCTGCCTCCTTGGCAGCGTGAAGCTGTACGATTCTTGGCACTTTCTCTGCTGTCTGGAGGGTGTTAAACTTGGACAGTGACACTGATCATAGTCGTGCTGCCCCAGCTTTGTTATTTCCTGAGTAAATCCCTGAGCAACAGCAAAGGGCTCATGGAATTGAGGGAGAGTTTTAAAAAGCCTCAGTACCGAACATGCTTGTGGTTAGGTGTGCATACTTCCTGTCGTGCTCAGGGCTGTCATACACCAGTTAAGACTTGTGTTCAACGTGTGCGCATGTTCTTTATTCATCAGGCAAAAAGAAACCTTCCACCTTGAAAGTGAAGTTCAGCAGTATTCTGTCACTTAATCTTTCTCATTCCTTCTTGCTGAGTATTGACTTGCCTCTTCCAAATGACTTGTAATCTTCAATTTAGATTGTTTAATGAATATAGCAAAATTGTGTGGGGTTTCTTGCTCATTTTTCTGCCGTTCTGTTTTGTTTTTTGTGGTTGTGACCTCTGCCTTAGGCTAAGCCATGACTTCAGGATCTGGGCATGTGGACTCCAAGGCTGAGCTCACTGCTTTGCTTGAGCAATGGGAGAAAGAACATGGCAGTGGGCAAGACATGGTCCCTATTCTCACCAGGTAAGGTCTACTAAACAGCTTCCTAAATCTCAGTATCTGAAGTTACTTGACAACAGCTTTTACTGTGTTTCTGCTTGAGTTTTTTACACACCTAATTACTTGTTGGCAATTTTCTTTGGTCTGGAAGTTGAACTATGAGTGTGGTATTTAAATACACATGTTTTTTGGTAGGAATTTTATGTTATAAAGATCTTAGACTGTCTTTGAAACATGAATATTATTCTCTGAAATAACAGAAGTCAGAGGAATCATTAAATAGTTGAAATAACTGGTATCCTCACCTGAAGCTTGTAAAATGTTGATCAAGATCGAAAGCTATGAGAATGTTGTTCCATCAGTGTGGTGGTGTGGGGTTTGTGGTTGTAGTAACACTGGTCAGATTAAATGAGAGGATGGGAGCGACTCACTGGGTGAATCAAGGGGGTTATATGAGAGGATGTTATTGAAGCTTACAGGACATGTTTAAAGTAGAATTTTAAAACTTGATGAATATTTTTTAAGTTGGATGCTGGTTAACTAGTATTATATGTGTGAGGAAAATATTCCCGTGATAGTAAATGACTTTTAAGGAGTTGTGTAGTTACTACTAGCACCATTAATTATAGGACATCATCTATTACAAGAAAAAGATTTGAATTACCTATTGCATTTGTGGTTTCCCAAGCCGGTCCTCTCTCGGGTAAACTGATATTGCTCTTGATTTAACAGCAGGTTCACAGAACTTCCACTTGGTTCCCCCTCAGACCTCAGCTGGCAGACCTGTGGCCTGCCTTCTGTACACAGAAGGTCTTACTGTACAGCACTGCTCTGCGTTGTTGGGTCAGACAAGTCAGTGTGCAGGCTCTGAGCTGGCACTGGGTGGAAATAACATGCAAAGCAGTTCCGCCAGATTCCTGTATCTGTGCCGTGCCTCAACTAGTGGGCACAACTTTTTTGCTGTCTTACTACGTTCTAAAAATACCACAGGAGAGGGAGATGATCAGTAGAAAGCCAATCCTAAAGTCTTGAAAATGAGTAGGTCTCTTGAAAAACATGAGACATGTTTTGGTGTATCTTGGTGTATTGTGTAATTTGTGTCTTGAAGGAAATGTGCTGTTTCCAAACTTTTTCTTGCAGGCATAACCAGCAGAAATTTATTCTAAGAAATTTAAAGAAATTTGAATTAAACATTGCTTTTCTTGTGTTTATAGCAGTCTGGCACTTCTTGTTCCCCTTCAGCTCCTTGACTTTCCTATGTTATTTATGCCTAGACAAGTCTGATAATTCTGGTTCTCCAGGGTCTCTGTGCAGCAGGTGGAGTGGTTATGGACAGTGGAAGCTTGGGCATTTTGGCTTTAGTGGAGTCAATACAGATTTATTTAAGGTAGATAGCAAGAGGATCTACTGTCTCTGGCAGAAGTTGGATTTACAGTGCTTCAGGTATCAATGAAAGCCATATGTCTGTTTGGGGTGCAGGGTTTTACGTGCATAATAGGTTTAAAAGAATTTGCTGGAAGAGATACAAGGGGTCCTCACCAGCTGGAGCTTGCGTTAGCTGATGTTCTGAGGCAGAGTAGTGCCCTTGCACATTGTTTTAGACTTAAGGCATAGGAAGCTGTGGTCATGCTTGTTGGTGAGTGACGTTTTTCTATTTCCTTCCACCTTCTGAGCTAAATGGAAGAAGACTTCCCTGTGTGGATGAGGTTCGTTAAATGTGATGCCGAGGCAGCGTGTCAGAGTGCAGTAGTGAGTGTTTCAACAGTGGCAGGACAAGAACAGCAACAGTGTGACTTATAGGCCACAGCTGAATTGTCGCTTCTAAATAAGCTAGTTTTCTGGAGTTTCAGAAGTTATGACTTGAAGAAACCGCTTGGAAAGCATGTCAGCAAACAACAGATATTTAATATGTATGGTTTTAAAAAAACGGTAAATTGAAATGTTCCTTCAAGAGCATCAGTTCATAGTCTGGATGCAAGTCACGTTCAACCATTTTGGCTAATCCTGGGAGTCAGATCCTTCGCTGCATCTCAAGAGCCTCTTCATAAAGGGAATTAATTAGCAGCTCAATATCATAATTCATTTCCACAAACCAAGAGCGTTGTTGCAGTGGATCCTGGAGCATCTTACGCTGTTGCAGTCGGTTGTAAAGGCTCAGGCTGGTTGGTCACTAATACCAAGTGATGGCATAGGATTAGGATATTGGGATGGCTTTATTTTACGCCATCTGGATCAGTGGGAGTCTTGCCAAGGTGACATACTTTTATGTATACCACTGCCCCTTCCTTTCCCACCCCTAAGGTGAGCTCGGTTTGTGGCAAGTGAAACGAGGATCTAACTTTCTAAAGGTGATCGCAAGAAAGGTTGTAAAGAGAAAAAAACAAATGTCAGAAGTGGGGAGAAAGAGCCCATACCCTTGTGTAAAACCTAGATCTTTTCTGCAAACTGTGAAGTGGCTAGAGAGCCAGCATAGTGCGAGGTGAATGAAGGGCATCTTGAAACCTGAATAAATGTTTGGTGGTTTTGTCAGCTGTTTTTTGTTAAAGCCCTGTGTACCACGTGTATGTTATGAGGCAGGAACGAGCTTTGGTAGTTATTTGGCTCTCCTGTTGCTCCAGCTGAGGATTGACAAAGCTGTTGGTCTAGGTAGGTTCTGCAAAGTTGGTGCAAATACCACCTTTGTATGCCTTAGTTAAAGAAAGGGTATTATAAATAAGCTTTCTTTTTTTGTTTTGAAGAGGCAGTGTTTTTTTATTTTGGTCAGACAATTGTGATGAATTGTCTCAGAAAATCCCTGTAACTGGAGATTCACGTGCCTGTTTCATCCAGGCTGCGATGATCATGTCCCTGAAACCCCTTGGCAGCTTCAGCTGGCATGCTCTTTGGCTGCCTACCTAACCAGGATGGACTGATGAGCATGTTATGCTCACTTTCCATGCTTGCTTGTCAGTCCTTTCAGGTGCGCAATCAAAATGCTGATCATTACTTAAACAAGTCTAGGGTGCAGCTTCTCAGCTCCTTGTTTGTCCCAGTTGTCTGACAGCAGGCATCCCTCAAGCTATTGGTTCCCATGGAAAAAAAGAAAAATGAAGAGCTGGCAGTGGAGTATTAAAATAACTTGGTTTTGCCAGAGCTCCTGTGCCACCTGTTAGAAAGGGACACAATTTGCATCTCTTCGCATTCAGGCTTACGAAAAGTAAATATTAGAACCCCACAGGATAAACTGTTTGCTGAAAGATAATTGTTAGATCAGAGTCAAGCGGGAAAGTTCTCTGCTCATTCCTGATAAGCTAATTTGCTGTTCCTACAATCTGGGCAGGCTTTATAACATCATCCTCTGTTGTTCTGGCAAGTCAGTGTAGTGCACAGAAGCAGGACCAACTACATTTTTGCCTCTAATTGTCCCTGGCAACACAGGATATTTTCTGGAAGGTAACAGGAATGGAGTAGAAGTCAGCGGCATTCTGTAAGGGAAATCCCTTGTGAAAGACAAATATTTTTCCAGGGATTACTGCAACCTTCCAGCAGTTTTTCCTCCCCTATAATAAACTCTGCCTAGATCACTACCCTGAGGTGTTAAGACCTTGTTTTAAAGTGCTGTGCTGCACATAAGTTCTGCACCCCACACCAGACCTCAGTAGAGAGGAGGCAATGAGGTTTTATAGTAAGGAAATAAGGTTTAATTTGCTAATGCTGTTTGAATACTGCTCTTTATTTCACCTCAAACTGCACGTACTTCTGCTGTAACACTTCATGGGGAAGGACAGTGGATGACAGTAGAATTATTAATTGCTTGACTGTGAGATAATCTCCCTCTTCTTGATTTTTTTGTTTAATTAAAAATAATGATTCATGCCCTTACAGCTCATTTTAAAGGAATAGGATTTCTTGTGTCTGCTGAGGCTGCTTCTCAGTTTAGGGGAAGGCATAGCTTCAAAACAGCATTCAATTCTTTTTCTGATATGGAGGAGCATTTAATGTATTTTGAAGGCCTATGAGTAGGGAGCTGGCTGAGTTTCTCCTTGTCTTACCCATTGTGGTAACTGACACTTGCTAAGAAGCTGAGCTTTGGAGCTGAAGGGATAAGCTGTATAGAGAGTACACAAAACTTTATTAAATACTTCTATTACTATACAATATTATTAAAAGTTAATATGAAAAACTAACAAAAACATGTAGGCAGTTTGAGCAGCTGCCCCTGCTCAGACTGAATAGGAAGGAGTATGTCACCTGTTCACTACTGCAAAAGAAAGACCACGTGATGAAGTACTTCTCAAGCTCTAGCTCTCCACAGTGTGTGTCATAGAACATCACCAGGACTCTAACGTGAGTAAACAAAAGGCGTTGGTCCCTTCCAAGTGTCATGCTTGTGCGTTGCTGGGCTCAGCGTCTTTTGGAGCGTGTTGTGGGGGAGGAGATAGAGTCAAGTCTTCTCACCCCTCTCTTGTGAACAGTCTGAAATCCTCTGGTGGCACTGAAAACTGTTCAAATGAAAGTTGATAAGCTGTTTGGTACTTTGGCAGATAGGGTATTGTGAGGAGCTGAGCTGTGCACTAGGAGAAGACCGAGTGTGAATTCTGCTCATTTGGTGTCATTCCTTCTGCAGAATGTCCGAGCTGATTGAGAAAGAGACTGAAGAGTACCGCAAAGGGGATCCAGACCCATTTGATGACCGACACCCAGGTAAGATGTCCTGAACAGTTTAGGCATCACAATGGATACCTGGAAATTTGTATTTAATAGTGAGCAGTTTTTAGCCTGAATGTGGCCACTGCTGATCAAGGTCTGATACGGCTTTTGCAGCGGGTAATTGTGCTCTATAGCGTTGAGATCTGGCAGTTTTGATGTTTGCTGCAAGATTTTGAGGGCCTGGGTAGAGTTTTGGTAGAGTATTTTAGCGGCTGATTTATGACATAAGGGTATGGTCATGTTACCGGTTGTAGTCAATGTGAAGTAGTAGGTGTTAGATGGACAGAGAAGAGAAGACAGTTTGTCTTGGATTTGCTGTTGATTGAGTGCAGTGGTTTAGAATAGCCAAATACAGCCACTAAGGCTTTTCATCTTGGTAGTGTTGTTTTTCTTTTTTTGGGGTGTCTTACTTCCAAATTACTGGAACAGTTTGCCTGACATCTGCATCTTCACTGTCTACCAGAATGACATTTCCGAACTATTGGACCAGTAAAATATGTTGTGCTTTGGCTAGTAGGCATTCTAGGGAGGTAATGCCTGCTAGAAAAGATAGTAAGTTGGTGAATAATTGGTATGATTTCTTCTGTAACTTTCCATCTGGGAAAGGTCTGCTAACTAGAGGATTCCACAGTCAATTGGAAGATGGCAGTTCAGTATTAATCTTGGTGTCTTGAGGCAGGTCGATAAGCCTTTTCTTGTTTCTCCCGCAGGTCGAGCGGACCCAGAGTGCATGCTTGGTCACTTACTGAGGATACTTTTCAAGAATGATGATTTCATGAATGCGGTAGGTTTGCGCTAAATCTGTGAATTCCTGGCTCCTTATTATGCCTTGTCTTTACTCCGTGCCTGGTTGACTTCTGTATGTGTTTACTATTTATTTTACTTGTGTCAGGACTCTGCCTTCCATAGCATAGGTTTTTAAAATGGGTTTAAGCGCAACTCCTTTGCCACTGGTAAAGTGACTCAAGGAAAAGGGGGTTCATGAGCTCTTCACGAGTGCGGGACTATGTGTAGTAACAATTGAATTAGTTCTTCTCAGGGTTTATCAGTGTCTTCGAAGAAAATGGAGCTCCTCTAATACAAGTTTAAAAGCATAATTAATTTCTATAATGGAAATTAATACAGCTAATTACAATGCTTTGTTTCTGAATACTTGGAAATGCTGGACTGCCTGTAGGAGCAGAGGAGTATGTCAGCTCTAGAAGTCTCAGGCAGAGGATTAAGAGGCAAGAGTTTGGCTTTCCCCTTGCATTACTGTACTCTAACATGAGTTAATAGCTAGAATTTGTTACCCTTATGTCCCTGCAAGCACCTGTATCAGTACACGTTGCTGTAAGGATTCTGACAGACTGCTTGCTTGTAGCTTTCTGTCTTAAACTGCAAATGATAACAAACATAGACACTATTAAAATTTGCAATTTTTTTAGCTATTGCCTTTTCATGTTTACTGAATTGCAATTATTTTGGGCGTTTGTCTTTACTAATCAATTCAAGATGATTTTTAGTCAGTGAACAGCAGATCAGAGGGTATTCTGTTTCTCTGAGAAGTGATTTCAACTTGTGAGGCCCTGGAGGGAGCAGGCTGAAGGCCAGTCATCTTTAGATCCTGGGCTTACATGCTGACGTGTCTGTCTTTATGGTTTTGCTGCTGTGGGAGTTCAGGCTTTCACCAACGCTGCTCCTGATCTTTTCTAGCTAGTGAATGCTTATGTGATGACAAGCAGAGAACCTCCGTTAAACACTGCTGCCTGTCGACTTCTTCTGGATATCATGCCGGGACTGGAAACTGCTGTTGTCTTTCAGGAAAAGGTATCATCTGTACCAAGGCTTGGTTTTTAAGTTTGTTCTGTTGTGTACTCCAACAGTTTTTCCCACATGAGAAACCAGTAAAAAGCCCTTTTGAAATCCGGTCTCTGGGAGACCATCTACTCAATCTTACTAATGGTTTGGGACTTTTTGATGTTGGCTTGTTCAACTGATCAAGTCTTGGGTTTTTCACAGCTTGTAAGGTGAAATGGGATTGATTCAAACAGAGGAGCTGGAACTCAATGGAAAGTTTTGGGAAATGTGCTTTGAATTGTTGTTCCATAGGCCTGTGGATGGAGCGGGCTGTACAGAAAGTGAAGACTTGCTGTAGGAGTGTTGCCCAGTAATCCCCAGCTACAGCAGAGCTATAGCATTATTAGAGCTAAGTGATAAGCAAGGCATGCTTTAACTAAGCAGTCTAAAATCCACATGCTTTGTGGGGATTATCTGGAACTGTGATGGGCAGCTGAGTCACACACACCTCTGTATGTTGACACCTGTGGCTTTCTGAAGGAGTGCACAGAGAGCTGAAAGCGAGGAGAAAGTCCATTTCACTCCTGAGCCACAGTTTCCTCATCTGTAAAATTTCATGTCTTCCTGAAGTTTGGAAACCAGGTAGTGCTTTATATTAATTTCTCTACTATTGGAACTGTGCTTCAGAGCTCATATCCATGGTGAAAGGAAAGCATCATGTGCTCCCTTTGTGAAGGACTGAATTTAATTTGCAATCTCGGTGGCCTTAGCGAAGGCTAAGGTGGTGAGACTTCGATCCCCAAAAAATTAAAAGCAAAACAACAGTTCCTTATTTGTGGAGGATATAGCTTCCCTCCTGCCCGGAGACTAAATCTCCCTATACATTGAAATCAAATTTTTAAGTTAAGTTTTGCACTTAAGGACTTGTTTTCTTTTGTCTTGAGAATATAGAGAGCGCTGTGATGGCCGTTGGGGATCCTGTATGCAGGAGGCTTTAGGATAGCTCACAAATCCATTCACAGAGGGTAGTGTTCTGGTCATAAAGAGATCCTCTAGCAGCCAGTGTATTTCACATCTCTTCGATTAAATTTTTTATTAATGACATAACGAAAATTGCATTACTATTTAAATACTCTTAAATATATAACAGGAAACTCTTTAAACATCTGCAAGCTGAGAGTACTCGTTGAAACGTTTGTCTACGCATTATTACCTTTGACTGATCCTTTACTGTATTGCACCTGTGGTTCAAATTATGTGCAAGATTCCTGTCATGATAATGTGTTGTATGATGGTTCAAAATCCAGTAGTGACTTAGAATTAAAAATGAATCTTTCATTCTAAGCCATTGTCTTTTAATTGACTTTTTAAATTAACACTTATCCAGCCTTGTTAAGGAAAATTGTGTGGCAGTTTGTGTTCAAACACTGCTGATTTTGTTACTGCTACAAGTAGTAACTGTATTTAACAGTGAGATTTGCATGTGTACAGATTGGTATACTTGCATGCATTTCTCTCTCCTGCAATCATGGACTTCTGACTCTGATGAGAATTGTTGGTTTGGTTGGTGAGTAGTCATTAGTATAAAGAGTTCCTCTGGCCCCAGGTGTTTATTTATGTGAAATTTCAATTGGACCTTAGTTAGTTTTTAGTGAAATGTAAGAAACAGCCAAATTCTGCTCTACTCGGTGTAAGTTCAACACCGATTCTTTGAAATCTGCTAAATTGCTGGAGATAATATATATTAATATATGATATAAATTATATTAATGAAACTGATTGGAGCTTTGGTCTTGTTTGTTTGACTGACCAATTTATTCCTGTAGTGTTTTGCTACTTCCTAGGCAGTTGGTTGAGTGGCTGCTTCAGAAGATTTTTGCAGGTGTGCAAATCTTGATTCCAAATATCCGATGCCTGGGAATAGTTTTATGCAGTTAAAAATGTTAGATTTTTTTAATCTTTATTTATTTTTTCCTTTGCTTGGAGATATTTTTAAATCTTGGTTTATTACATAAGTGGTAGGAAATCCAGCCTGTTCATTCCTAGACATAGGGAGGGTTATTGCTAACAGATGCTGTCATTGGGACTGAGAATTTAAAAATGAAATAACTGTTGTAATTGCTTTCTTATTTCCTTCCTTCTAGGAGGGCATAGTTGAAAATCTCTTTAAGTGGGCGCGAGAGGCTGATCAGCCGCTACGGACATATGCAACGGGGCTGTTAGGAGGAGCTATGGAAAACCAAGATATCGCTGCAAACTATAGGGACGAGAACTCGCAATTGGTAACGACATCTCGGTCACTTTCCTGTTTTAGAGGGCAGATACCTTTACCTATTTTTGTTTCTCGGGAGCTCACATTCATGACTTAACATATGGGTCTTACATTGGTTATGATGATATCCTTAAGACTGGGTAGCTCATGTTTTCCATCCTTTCCTGACTGGGTTAAAAATGCCTGAGGAAACCTAAGGTGACAAATACTGTACTTTTTAATGGGACTCCTATTCATAGCCCCCTTAAAGAACAATTTTCAAAAGCTTTACATCTCTTATTATTGCATGTTGTGACTTACGTACTGGATTTTTAAATCAGATTTTTAAATGAAAGGTAAATCAGCACAGGGACAACTTAATAGGAAATCCCATTCACTTCTGCAGTTCAGTGTTGATTCTGTATGATGTTTATCAGCAATTGGGGTGAATTTTGGAAGAAGTAGGATAGGCAAATTCATCTCCCAGAATGGTGTGCAGTGTGAGACATAGGTGAACTTGAATTCTTGCACAGGTAAGGCCTTGAAAAGTAAAAGTGTGGTTTTGTGGAACTGCACTTTGTCAAAGATGCTGCTTTGAAAGGGAGAGTTGCCTTTATTCTAGGCTGGGTGGAATGAGAATAAGAATGGTTGGAAGGTGGTATGTGGTTCTGTTAGCATCATTATAGCTCATCTGCTCTTCATGGCTTCCAAGCCACCTCTTTCTCATTCAGAAGACTAGAGATTGATATTTTTAGAATGAAAGTAGCTGTAGCAAAAAGGATTGGAGTTTTCTTACTCTGTTTGAAATGGGTATTTCTCTGGGCAAACATACACCACAGCATGCTTGACGTTTTACTCTGTGGAGCGGGTTATATGGTAGGAAACAACACGGCCGATGCGAGTTGCGTTATCGGAGCTGGAAGCGTATTCTCATGCACGCTGCTTTTGCGAAACAGGTGGCTTTGGTGCTTCGACGGCTGCGAGAGTTACAGGTTACTGAAATGACTACGAAACAAGAAAACAAGCGTCCCAGTCCTCGGAAAGTGCCATCAGACCCTCTGCTACCTCTGGATGAAGAGGCTGTGGATATGGATTACGGGGAGATGGCAGTAGATGGAGAGCAAGAGGAAGTTTCGGGGGATATGGAGATCTCCTTTCATCTTGATTCAAGTCACAAGACCAGTAGCAGGGTAAACTCTGCTATAAAGCTAGATGAAGGGGGACTGAGAAAAAGCAAATCAGGGAAACAACATGAAAGAGACGGCTTCCGGAAGGCCAAGCAAAAACTGGGCTTCTCGGCTTCAGAACCAGAGCGGATGTTTGTTGAACTGTCCAACAGCAGCTGGTCAGAAATGTCACCGTGGGTGATTGGCACTAATTATACACTTTACCCTTTGACTCCCGCCATAGAGCAGAGGCTAATTCTTCAGTACCTGACTCCCTTAGGGGAGTACCAAGAGGTGAGCATCTGAAGGTGGGAGGAAGCACTCTGTGTGCTTGAGTTCTCCTGGCGAAACTGGAGATTGTGTGGTATTATGCGGCCAAGTTTGCAGCACTGTTATATCGCTGTCTGGTATTTCCTGATGTGATGAAGATCAGTAACCTTTCCTGAATTGTTGATGGCTTTCAAATTGATCAAGTCATTCGTTTGAGTATTACCTGGTAGGTGATACTCGAACAGGAACCTAGCAGGTGTGTGGTCAAGTAGTTGGAGCATGGCACTAGGAGTTTCATTCCTGGTTTCTGTTAAGTTTAGTGGTTACATGACATGGGGCAAGTCCCTGTGAAATACATTTTCCCTGTTTCCTCTGGGGCATGTGATAGACTCCTACAATTAAAAGTCTGAGGAAATACTGATCTTTAAATTCTAAATACAATGGTTTATGTAACCTCTGCCGTAGTTCTGATGAGAAGTGGCAGTGCCCCTGTTACATAGTAACAACAGCTCCCAAAAGTCTCTTATGTGGCCAAAGTAGTTGAGCAGTGTCAGATTTACCAAAAAGTCTGCTTCCTTTTTCGTTGTAACAATAAAACTTAAAAAAAAAAAAAAAGGTGCTAGCACAGGTCTGCAGGACACCTTTATCTATGTTTAATCTTTTAGGTGGTTTAACCTGATTTGAAATAAAACAAAGCAACACAGTTTTGCTTTGTGACATGTCTGTGTGCACGTGTGTGCCTTGTTTCTGTGAGAGCCAAATAAACCACTATCCCCTTAATACCCTGCATGCTGACTGGATCACTTCATATGCCAGCTATAATAGGATATAAAATTAGGAATTAATACTATAAAGCTGTTACACAGAGAATTACGCAAAGGGTTTTGGTTTGTTGCCTTGCTCTCCTGTTTTTTTTTCTGTTCAGTTGTTGGGTAGTTGTCTTTGCGCAGATGGAAAGTGGAACCTACCGCCAGGGTGGTATCTGTGTGGACTTGCCATAGCCGCACTTGAAGGAGAGTCTTAAGATTTCCGTGTGGCAGCTGCCATGCACCTTGCTGCAGTCAGCAGATGTATTACAAGAGGTCTGTTAACCTTTATTGCTTCCTATGGATGGAGCTGGTTACCACTGACCTCTCCTAACAGGTATCTGCAAATAGGGGAAAACTGGGGGTTTGAGAGAGTAAAAATCAGAACAGACCTCGTATTTCCTATGAAACATTCAACTAATCTCACGGTTTTATTTTCTTAGCTACTACCCATCTTTATGCAACTGGGGTCAAGGGAGCTGATGATGTACTACATCGATTTGAAGCGAACCAATGATGTGCTGCTCACTTTTGAAGCCCTTAAGGTAAATGAATTTCATTTTAAGAGCATTGACTATATGTGTGCTGCATGCATCGAAGGCAGATGCTCACCTTCTTTAGGCCTGTGTGTCTTGCAGGATTCCCTTGGATTGGAGTTGGCTTTCACTCAGCTTGAATGAAGTGTGGTTTTGTTTTTAAGACTCAAGCTATTAAAAAATAGAAAGGGAGAGGGATCTTTAAGAAAATATCATCATTGTTCAGGGAGTGCTATTAATTTCACCTACCATCTGCCTATCTGAAGATGATAAAAATTCCTTTTTCTGTCAAACACTTGTGTTCCTGCTGCCCTTAGATGACATTCCTGAGTTGTTCCACTGCCTGTCATCCCAAGGGACATTTGTGAGGGGTAAGAAGCATAAGCATCTTACACCCAGAAGGCCCAGCATGGCATCTCTGAGCTTAATGTTTGAAATACAATAGTTTCGTGTGAGTAGTCTTTAGGTACCTCTCTGAGGTACAGAACCACACAAAATAACGTTCTTCAAGCCAAACCTGCAGTGCAGCAGCACAAATTTAATTTTTCTGTGCGTTCTTTCCCACTTTCACAGTAACTTCTCTCCCTCTGCTCTGCCTGTGTCACCTTTCTCCCTGTTTCATTGTCATTTGTCTGAGAATTTAATTCTAAGAAACAGTGTTCCTACGAAAGGTGTAGGCTACCTCATTTGGGTAGTGGTGTGAGGTTTACAGTGGTTCTTGCTGTTTCCTCTTAAGGTGTTGGTAATACAAAAATATACAATGTAGTAAACTTTAGTGCAGCTGCAGACTTCAGTTTTAGCAATAGCCTTTAAACTTACTTTTGTGAAATTCTTCTGGCCAGCAATATGGCATCTACAAAGTATGAATGCAAATTTAAATATTTCTTAGTGATAATAAAGTGAGTTTAATAAAGAATAGGAAGACTTAAGGGGGATTGGATTTATGTGACTTACTGGATACTGAGCTGGTCTGCTTTTCTTGTATTTCTTTTGCAAGATGTGTAAAAATTGTTAATGCCTTTTTTGCTTTTGTCATTGGGATAAATACTATGTTCTGCAGTTAAACATAATGGGAAGAGGAGATAAGCTGGACCAAGCATGGAGCGCTTGTTTTTTCTGCCATCTGGTTTTCTGTGGGGCAGGGGATGGAATTGAGGAGTTTGAAGAATTTCAGTCTAATCTGCTTTTATCCTTCCTTAGCACTTGGCATCGTTGCTGCTGCACAACAAGTTTGCAACGGAGTTTGTTGCTCACGGAGGAGTGCAAAAGTTGCTGGAGATCCCTCGTCCTTCCATGGCAGCAACAGGGGTCTCCATGTGTTTGTATTATTTGTCTTACAATCAAGATGCCATGGAGAGGGTAAGAGGCATTCTTATAATATAACTGTCTCTAATGTTTCTCAGTGTTTCTGCTGGTTCAAACAGTGAACAAACATCTCCTAAACTAAAAAGCAAATTTATCTAGAGGCAATCATGGCCTTTATCATTTGCACTGGGGCTTGCTTTTGCTGGTCTGGAAATGAGTCTTTTTATCTCATGTTTCTGATGTCCCAAGTCAAGCTGGGAGTAACTGATGTTTGTCCTCTGTTTGCCCCTCAATGAACCCTCGTTCTCCCTGGACAAATTCTCCTCAGCAATCTGAAGTCCTTCTCAAGATTGTTCTTTTGCTTTCTAGGTGTGCATGCACCCCCATAATGTGCTTTCTGATGTAGTAAATTACACCTTATGGCTAATGGAGTGCTCCCATGCCTCAGGCTGCTGCCATGCTACCATGTTCTTCTCCATTTGCTTCTCCTTCCGTGCTGTCCTGGAGCTCTTTGACAGGCATGATGGCCTTCGGCGTCTGGTTAACCTGGTAAGCCTTGTAGTTTGATGTGGTGAACAGGGTTTTAGTGTTGGGTTTTGCAGTTTACAGTGCAGCTCTGGAGTAATCTGTTCTTTTGTTTTGTTTGGGGTTGTTGTCTTCCTAAATTCCCAAGAGATGGAGAGGTTAGATAAGTTTTCTGTGCAACAAATGTGGATGCCTTTATCTTTATTCTTTTTCTTCTTACTATGATGATCACTATCTGAGACTTGCAACCCTTTGAGAGCTCTTGGTGCCACTCTTGGGTTTAGCAGCACTTACTCAGACAGTGGTGGCTTAGTGCTAGTTAAAACATTTTTTCTTTCTTCTTACTATGATGATCACTATCTGAGACTTTCTGAGACTTGAGAGCTCTTGGTGCTGCTCTTGGTGCCACTCTTGGGTTAAGCAGCACTTACTCAGACAGTGGTGGCTTAGTGCTAGTTAAAACATTTCTTGCCATTCCTTATGAGCAGAAATTACACCATTTGTGTGCAAAAGCTGGTACATCTGCATGGTCTGGCCATGCAGGCCTGAAAGCCTGGGTTGGTTCTGCCTCGGAGACATCAGGCCTGCAGGGTGTAAGCACATTTTGTGTGGTGTGATATAAAGCCTTGATAGTACTGGGCACACCGCTGCCTCCAGATCTGCCTTGATGTAACCTCTGGTTTTCTTCCTTCATAGATACTGAAGGAGGGGGAGTGGCTCTTTTTAGACTTAACCCGTTACCCCTGCAGGTAGCCTTTTCTGTTCAGACAGCTTTGGTCAGCTCTCGGAGTGCGCTTGTATGTCTCGTATAGCGCAGTAACGTGGGTTTGGCTCAAGTGCAGCTGAGAATTGTAGGTGCGTTTTTTCCCTAAAGAGTGAACTGATGTGACTTCTGTTTTTTTTTTTTTAACCCAACCTCTTTCTGAAGATAAGCACTCTTGAGATCTTAAACCTGGAAGACCAAGGAGCCCTCTTGAGTGACGATGAGATCTTTGCCAGTCGCCAGACTGGGAAACACACCTGCATGGCCTTGCGTAGATACTTCGAGGCGCACCTTGCTATCAAACTCGAACAGGTGAAGCAGTCACTTCAGCGCACTGAGGGAGGCATTCTGGTCCATCCGCAGCCCCCCTACAAGGTGAGCAGCAGGTTGTAAGCTTTGAACACTGTCGCTGCATTTTTTTCAAGCGAATCCAAGACGCAGGAATATGTGGATGTCCCTTGAAGCCAGTGGAATCATTAGGAAGGGTGCAATTAAAGACCTTTTTTTGTGCTTTTTCCTGCCTTGTGGAATGATGCTGTGACAGGAAAAATACAGAATAGCCTTTGAGGTTCATGTAACTACATTTGGTTAAGGTGTCTGCTCTGATTCCTTTGCTATCTCTCAAACTTAAGGCAAGGGCAGGTTATTTCTGATACTTGTGTGTCTTTCTGTGCTTTTAATCTCTGAAAGGACAGACTCTGTATGGACAGAAAAGAACATAATGTTGGAAAACTTGGGAATAAGTTTGATTTGATAATGACAATGGATATGTCTTTTGGACACCATAGATTTTTTTTTTCTTTCTTTTTTAACTGGATTTTATGGCTGCTTGTTTTGAGGAAGCACATTCACCTCTGGTTTCTGGTTTAATTTTATGATGATTTTCTAAAAGAGCTGCAATAAGAAAATGCAAGGGTGTCTTGCTTCTGCAAAATATCACTTATTTTCCATAACTAAAGAAATGTGTGTAAGATGTTGCCTTGTATAATTAAAAAAATATTGAGAGGCGAGCTTGTTAGGCATTTCCTTTTTTGTTTAGTGTGTTTTGTAGTCACATCTTAGAAATTGTAATTGAGTATTTTTTTACATCCTTTTTTTGATGCTTTGGAATGAGGTTTTGTGGGGTTTTTTTGGTGTTTTTTTTTTTTTGAATGATGGCCTAGTAACTATGGGATTAGTAGCTTAAAAGCAGAGTAGAATTTTAATTTAGTGTAACTTGTTCTTCTTAAATTGGCCTAAACCTTCTAGGACTGCAAAGAAATTTAAAGGATATTAGGATATTATCCTTAAGCTTATTGTGTATGATAGTGACAATTGTTGTATTCTTTTATAGCTGGGGAATAAAACACAAAGTAAATACTAAATCTGCAAGAAACAGTGGTAGTCTGCTCTTTGTGGATGCAGTTTTCAGTTAAATCCTAGCAGTAGGCGACTTCCTGTGCGAGTTTGTAACTCTTGTGATCTCTTTCTAATGCTTCCAACTTGCTTCCCTGCAGGCCTGTTCATATACTCATGAGCAGATTGTGGAGATGATGGAGTTCCTCATTGAGTATGGCCCAGCACAGCTGTACTGGGAGCCAGCAGAGGTTTTCCTCAAGCTGTCTTGTGTCCAACTCATGCTTCAGCTCATTTCAATAGCATGCAACTGGAAGACATACTATGCAAGGTGAGCTGTTTTCTGTGGTACCTTATTTTAGTGCAGTAAGTTGTGACTCTTGGACAAGACGTTGCATTTCTAGATTTTTCTACCTCTCTCTGACAGCATTTAGAACAGGCACATACTGGATAGTGCTGGTAGGGCCTGTGCTGTGGCTACACAGTGCTTATGAAACACCGTGGAAAGTAGGACTAAAATCTTGATGTAGAGGGGGATGTCATTAGATTTCTGAAGAGCCAAAATGCCTTGGGCCTTTGATTTCAGAGAAATCTGCATCATAGTAGGTAGAGGTTAATCAGTCCTGTGCCACTTCCTGTCTCAAAATGTGTTTACCTTTTTGTTTAGTCTAGAAAACCTTCAAAGTGGAGGGTGAAATGAAGACATACCTTAATCCTGGTGGAAAGAGGTGGAATGTCTGTTTGGATGTATTAAGCTTAGCTGACTCAAGAGAACACTGTGTATCACTTTGGTTTGTTGGTATTTGGCGGTTACTGGGCAGATATAACTGTGCCAAGGAGTAGTGTGAATATGCAACAAGCCAGAGTTTGAGAGAGGAAAAAGAGTGAAGATCGTTGCTGTGCATTGCTGAGGTTCACGTCCCGTCACGGACACCACCAGCTGTTGTTCAGCTCACCGTGTTGGTAGAGGGGCTCGTTTTCTGATTCCACTTTTAAGTTTCTCCCTTGTCTTGGCCACAGACAAGCTGTGAGGCATCACGATATTGTTATCTCTGTGTCACCTCTTCCTTCCACACCCCCACCTCCAAAAAAAACCCTGCAGCATCCTTACTGTTGCAAAAGAGAGGGATCTGATAGGATGCCATTAGGTTCCCCTCCCCAGTTCAAAAGGAGGATGGGTGCCCAGTTTCAGCCTCTGTTTATCCTAATGGCCACCTGCTCCCCTGAGTGAGGCTGTAGCCCTCTCTAGGGATATGCTCTTGGTGAGTCACTGCTGTAACAGGTTGTCATCAGCTGTATTCTTGTGGTGTTTTTGCCCTCCTCCTCCTCCCTCCTCCCTTCTCCTGCCTGCAGGAGCTCCTTGGCTAACTTAACTTGAAAGAACTTTGAAATGTGTTTTGCTTCTGCAATCCCCTGCCTGCCTCTCCTCTTTCTCTCAAGTTGCACTCTCCTGGGTAGTTTCTGTTCTCTTGTTTCTTACTCTTTGCAGCTGTTTACTGATTGATACCTGCGTTTACTCCTACCTTTCCATACAGGCTTACAAACCTACCCCCCCTTTTCTTGCATTGTTCTGCTCTTCCACCTCCTGCTTAACAGCCCTTTTCATCTTCCACACACCTGTGTCTCTTCATCTGGTGCCTGAGTTGGTGCCTTTTTCCCTCTCACAGTACTCTGGTTTACTGTTAATTTCCCTTCACTTCAGAAAAACTTAGTCACCCGTTGACTTGAAAGGATTTTAAACAGCAGTGTTTCCCAGCTAAGATATAGAGTTAGATTGAGAAGCTCAATCTAGAGTGGTGTTGTCGATAAGTGGTAATATTCTTATTTTTTATAACTACAAAGTTACAGTGCTTGTAGGAGCCTTTGGGCAGGGTGGGATGCACGCTGAGAGACAGCAGGCAATGGTGTGCATGTGAACACTGCTTTCTGTGGAGACCTGCCCATTAAGAGTGGAACAGTCTTGATTCAGAAGGCACCATCAAATACATCAGATGTGACTGATGTGCTCCTGTTTGTTGGGATAGAGTAGATGGAACACTATTTTAAGTCATCAAAACAACCCTGTATGTGCACCTCTACGAAGTTTTTTCTTGTTTTCCAGGAATGACACAGTACGATACGCTTTGGATGTACTAGCCATCCTGACTGTGGTTCCTAAAATCCAGTTGCAGCTGGCAGAACCTGTGGATGTGTTAGATGAAGCTGGATCTACTGTTTCCACTGTGGGTAAGCTGAATATGGTCCTGATGACTTACATACTTATCAATTGTCTTCTGCTATGTGACTTTTCAGTTGGCTGGTTCTCACCTACAGCGAGACAAGGGTTAAAATAATTAATGTATTCTGAGTTGTTATCAGGGATGCGAATAAGTGGGAGAGTAGACTGGTTAAAATTGTCATGATTAGCACTGTGGTTGGGTTACAAATTTGAAGGCGTGGTCTTTAACTCATGCTTGTTTTCAAGTGCTCATTAAATACAGATGGAGGCAAATCTACTTTTGTAATGGGACTATTAGGTTCCCTCTAATTCTCAGAAATTCAGGTCTCCTGGGGATATGGCATTTGAGAATATGGGGGAGGAACAATTACTGTTATTTGAGTTATGCTCCAATTGGCTGTCTGCAGATTCAGTATGCAAATGACTGAGATGTGCCTGGATCAGATCTCAGGCCTATGCATTAACTGGGGCATGGCTTGTTTTTAAACACAAGCAAAATGAAAGGCAGGCAGAGTACTAGATACAGGCGAAAGACAACCTTTGTCTAGGTAAAACGCTAATTCCTTCTTGAGTAAGGGTTTTGATCTTCTGAAGCTGAGGTGAAACTAACAGGACTCTGTCTGGAGGGGAAAAAAACAAACCCAAAGTTTCATTTTTGCCTGACTCCTCTTGGAAGCTGATATATTTTTTTCCCTTTCATAACACAGTCCCCTTCCTTCCCCTCTGTTTCCACTTTGTTAGTATTTATTTATTGCAATCCCAAGCACAAGGACAGGC